TAGAATGCACTTATCTCTAAACTGTGACTTTTGTCTTTCCAATTTGTCTTGTAGTAATACTTGTTCTGATCCTGAAGGCGAGCCTTTTAAAAGTAAACGTCCCGAGTCAACCCCATGGACACAAAGCCCACAGTAGGATTGATGTGTGCTCTCCAAGTCCTCTGGGATCGTTTGAACGCAGGGCGCCGAGGGATTTGTCAGTCTAACGGGAGCTGACAGGAAGAGAATGAACTTTAACACTCACAGGCTGCTTTCCCTTTCATGAGCTTCCAGAGAAACCCTGTAGTGAATCAAATCCCTCTGCTTGGGGACATACACACACAGTGTGATAAAAATGCATGCACATGGGTACTAACGTAACGGCACAGGAGACACACATCTTATTCACTGTTACCTTCCCCTTCTTGTCCCAGCACATTCCCATTTAATCAGTCAGGCAGTAAAGAGTGATGAAATGTTGAATGAAAAAAGTCTAAAAGAACACATATAGTACATGCACAGCCAAAAGCAGCTAGACAAACTGTCACACAAAGAGACATACACTTCCTCCAGTGACCTGAGAATAGAGGTCACTGCTGAGAGCTCGTTGTTTCAGTGATTTCACGCCGTGTTGCTTTCAATCAGGGGCTGTAATGAAAGGTCTCATAACTCTAACATTAATGGGACCCAAGGACTGTTAAACAGCTGAAACGCTTGGTTCTGTAACGCTAACTTAGGATCCAAACTCTTGTTCTGGTGAGTCTTCACATGGTCAGTTATCAGCAGTGTTGCAGCAAGCCCAGAGACTAAGGTGCCATAAGGTTATCGTTTGGGTCCTGATGAAAAGTTGAATAAACTCTTGCCTGGAGTGTTGCCTAACAGCATGTCTGTTTAATTATTTCCCATTAATTGAGGATGCCTGAGGAACTACCTAATTACCTTGAGTTAAGTACAGATCAGGGCTTTTCATGCAAACACGGATTTTTAACGCCTTTAGCGAAAAGGTGAAAAAGTACATAATTAATTTAAAAAACAGTAACTTTCCCCTGAATCAGTTCTGGCATATGTGACCACCTGAGCATCAGAGAGGACAAATAATCCAACTCTGCAATTCTGTAAGTAGCAAAAACAGAATAACATCTTGAAAGTTGTGCTGGCTTTTCCTGCCCTCTGAAATAATTACTTGGCTAAAACAGTGAGTTTGGCAAATGTTGCAAGTTTGTTCAGAAAAACTGGCAACTTTTCAGGCCACAGCCACGCTACTCTGAGGTACTCAATGAAGCTGGAGGTGCATTCCACTATTCATACTACCACACTTTATAGTTCGCCAGAAAAACATGTAGAATGTCCCACACTGATATCAAATGCAGCATGCCAAAAATACCGTGATGTTCTCTACACTCAGACACCCACAATCCTCCACACAGCGTAAGGTATGTCACAGTGTTTTGCGCGAATAACAAGCTGGAGTCACACAGATGTACAAACAACTCATTTCCACTGTAGACTGTGATGGATCTGTGAGCAAAACGATCAAAACTTAAATTGCAATATTATAACAATGTTGTGTGTCCTACTTGTAGGCGTACTGCATGCAACATTATGCTCTTTATGAAGGCAGCTACAGCATGTACTGAAAGGACAAAGAAAAAATGTATATGGTTTAGGATGCAGGGATGGTGCATTGATTTATTCTGGTCAGAAGGCAGCAGCAGCCTGTTTGTAGAAACCATCAGACTCTTGTTTTTCTATTATTATTATTCTATTAAATTAGAAAGTTTACCAGTTGAATAAAACTAGCAGATACTGTGAAAAAAAAATATTGTGAGATGCCATCTCATCTGCCAAAAGACTTCATAAGTGATAAGCATTACCAAAAACATTTGATGGAAACTGAAATGCTGTGCAAAGAATAGAACTTTAAACCTGAAGACCCTGATTCACGTCCCAGGTACTATTTGTCTGTCATCCTACCAATCGTGTGGTTTTCTGACATTGATGCCTGCAGCCAATACTCACTGTATTTAAATCCTACTGACATCTCTGAAGAAAAGACATTTTTAAAAGGAAGCTAATTTGTGCTTTAACTTGACATTGACTTTTCCAATATTTTACTAAACCCTGAGCTTTACAAATAGAACTGTAGAGGTGGAGGTATAAACATTATCTATTTCTACATCTTAAATAATGTTGTAGAGATTCAGGAGGTAGTAAAATTTAGGAGCAAACCTTCTATCTTAAATATGAAAAGTAATCATTTCTCCAAATGGACTATAAATTAAAGTAAATGTTCTAATAAAATAAACAAACATAAAAAACTGACATTTTTATAGAACAGGCACACAGCAACAAATGGAGTCAGTGCAGGCCCTGCCCTCCAGCCTTGTCCACTCAGTGCTCTCCCCCACTCAGCAAAGCTAGGCTGTGGGACGCAATAAAAACATAATAAAATTATTATGATATTCCATTGTTGGACGGGATGCAGAGCCCTGGGTCTCAAGCTAAAGAGTAGCATAATAAACGTCACCCTACATCCCCTCTCTGCCCTCATCACGCAGTGTCGTCCTCCCACTGCTGCCTCCATCAAAAAACTAAATTACACTCCTGCATACTAAATCCCGGTAAACAACAGTTCTCTGCTGCTCTTCCAGCTGAGCCAGACAGCTGTGCTCGCATTCCCCCAGATAGACCAGAGAACATTTCTCTGGTTATAGATAGATGTTAATGGTGAGTTTCCACAGGCCAGGGAGCAGACGGTCTGACTGAGCTGCATCAGATCTCTAACACTATGAGGCCACACAAACACAAACACAAACTGGATGAGTAGAGTAGATGTCTCTGAGCTCAGCTGCCAACTTACTGCTGACCAATTCTAAATAAAGCAGTGGAGCTATTTGGACAGTGATGCCATACACAAACACAGACATGGTGTTAACTTCATTTTACTGGAGGTTAAAGGTCCCGTATTGCACTCCTTTTTAACAACTTAATCTAAGTCTCATATGATTTCAGGATGCGAAGTTTCAGCTTAAACTTCAGCCTAAAGTACTCGGCAGATTTTCATTCTACCATGTCTATCATACTGCTGTGTTTAGCCCCGTACCAAACGGGCTGTTTCAGTTTCTGTACCTTCAAACCCAACTGAGCTGTCGCTGCCCTAACTTCTTTCAGGATGTCAGCATGAGGGCTGCAGGCTCACCTCTTTCTGCATCTACTGCAATACAACTAATCTGCGTGTGATGTTCAAGGATGGTCAAATCCTCAAGTGCATGAGCCCTCTGATGCTGACTTTTGGACAATATTATGCATCTTTTCTGCGAGTCCAAATACCTGTTAAGGTTCCTGAGGGACTGCACATAGTTCATAGCAAAATTAGAGACGTATGTACTTCAATGTCACACTCTAAACAAACCAAGCATGGATTGTGTAAGGAAGAAATTTGCTACAAAGCTTATCTCTCACAACATTTTGGCTGCTTGCTGTCATTTGGCCAATTGGAAGTTTGTATTAGTTTATTTTTTTTCATTTAGACATCTGTATAGTGATTTACAGATGTTCATGGATTTCCTGACTTATGGTAGTTTGCTAAAAATGTATAAACACGGTAATGTCACAAACAGGTGTAAGCAGCTGATCAAACCTCAAATGAAACACAAGTCTATATTTGTTTTGAAAGGGCAATGTGTTTTGTTTTATTTTTTTTAATATCATTTTGAGCCCTAATGAACTCACACACCTTTAACACTACAGCTTAGTCTTCAGCTAAGTGAGGATGGTGCTGCAAACCTCAACTACTTGTTTAGAGACACACTTTCTGATCTATGGACGAAGAGAAAAGAAACAAGGTCTCCTCTGATATTTTGAGTTATGTTCAAAAACAATGAAAACTTGATTTTGCATTAAATTAAATACACCGCTTAATCCTAACTATTGTCGTGGGAGGCTGGAGTCTATCCCAGCTGAATCAGGGTGAACGCAGGTTCACCTAGACAGGTCACCAGTCTATCACACTACACTTAGAGACAGACAACCAAGCACACTCACATTCACACCTATGGACAATTTAGAATCACCAATTAACCTAAACATGTTTTTGGACTGTTCGAGGAAGCCTTCTTGCTGTGAGGCAACGGTACTAACCGCCGAGCCACCTTGCAACCCCACATTAATATAGACAAGCCAAAATAAATAAAGTTCTGATTTCTCCAGCCTCAAGAAAATTTTGAAAAGAACGAGAATAGAGATTCAGGTCATAAAAGTATAAAATCTGAACGTTTGTATAAACTTTAGCTACCCAGTGTTACACTCTGGGGTCAGGCTGATCAGAAACTATTGAGCAGGTTTTTGATTTTCTGCCAGTTTACAAAATGTAAACTGAACTGACTGTAGCTTTTGATCCACAGACACATTTTTATCGCCATCTTTGTTTGAACTTCTGTGTTTCTTTAACCACTTGACCCCAAGCTCTAACAGTTTTAACTATGTCTAGAATCCTGTGAATACTGTTATATGTTTTCAAAGTGTTCCAGCAGATATTGATTGACAAGTTGACAGCGAGTCAAAAAAACATAAGTACAAAACAGGATTGTGCATGTTGGATCACTGCAAGACAGTCAAGACTTTAGAACATGACACTTAACATTACTTGAAATTTGGCTGATCCTAACCCTTTTCTGTGCAATGGATAACATAATTCCAGCCCAGGGCAAATAATATGTAAGGTGATTGGAGAAGCCAAAGTTGCAAGGCAGTTATTGTAAAAACCTCACTATGTCAGTAAACCATTACAAAACCAAACTGAAACATCTGCCAGCTTGAGACATCTGTTCAGTTTTAGCAGTGACCTGATTGAACCAATCTGATCCCACATGCAGTCAAATGTTCTTAAAATGTGTTTTGTTTTCTAGACATTATTTAAGCAAAGCCATTTGTGAATGGTACTCCCACGGGAGAAGACACGTGAGCCTCTGCTGGCCAGAGGTACAAAATCACACATATGTATATAGACGGAGGTGATTTACCTTGTTTTCTGCATGGTTCAGGTCAGGCGTTTTGGCCGTGGCATCCAGATCAGTCACTCCTCTATTGAGGTTTAACTCCTCTGAAGCTGTCACCTGGTTCACCTCCTCTGCATCGATGTCAGTCTCCTCGGCAACGACCTCCGTCTTCTCCGGGCCTGTTAGCTCTCGAGCTGAGCCGAGGAAGGTACACACACATACAGGTGGATAAGCACGCACGCCTGCATACACACATGTAGGCATGAGCATGTACACACGCACACATGGGCGGACACACAAAAATGCAAATAAGAAAACATTATTCATAAAGTCACAGTGTACTATAACACATGCCTGATATTGTACAAGCCAATGAATTTCACAAGTGTTTAGCACAATTAGTCTTATATTACAACAAAGGGCCTCCAAGAGCTATACAACAGTGCAAATATAAATACATTTTAGTGTAAAACAACATTCTCTTTTCCCTTAAGACATCTGTAATTCAACAAAATGGGATACAGTTTGGGTTTTTGCAGAAGCAAATATAAACAATGGAGATCAACAAAATCTGCCCTGAATGAGCAGACTGCAACAGTTCACATTCTTACTGTTCATCTTCCGTGCACACAACTTTTATTAACATTAAAATTGAGTTCATTCTTATTTTTATCTGCCAAAGATTGTTTTTTGACCAAAATATAATTTTAAAAAAATGTAAAAAAATAAATATATGAAGGAAACCATGCAGTTTAGTTCAGTCAAACATTCAAGAGCGGCAACAATTTGCATCAAAACAACACTGAGTATGAAAATACTTGAATAAAAGTTTACAAAATGTACAATTAGTTGGCAAATAAAATGTTGGAGTTTAAAATCTTCCAAAGTTATAATGAAAAAGTCTTTTTTTTTCCTAACAAAAGATCCCACGTTGATTTAATCAAACAAATGCGAAAAAGAAACATTTTTCCAATTAAAAGATTCCCCACAGCAGTCAGAATATTGTTGAATGTTTTGCTATTTCAAGCATATTTGATTTGCCTCACTGAGACATTCACCAGAACAACTATTACACTGTTTGTCACAGTTGCTGTAACCCCTGCTTCCCCTGAACACAAGGCCTGGGGTTGCTGGCTGCGCATTATAGCCGCATTCAATTCAAAGCGAACTGTATAACTGAGAAAGCTAAGATGCCAGTGGTCTAATACATATTTGCATTTTCTTGTTTAAAACTTATCCACCCACAAGACAGAAGTTGTTTTCTGACTGTTAAAAAAAAAAAAACCTCACTTGGAGCTACAGGAACTGGACTCACTTTAGTGGCAAAGCTATTTAACTTGTATATCCATCTGCCCAGCATTGTCTGGCATTAAACTCTTAGGCAGAAAGCAAATACGCATGATTTTAAACTTGTGAAACTATTTCTTAGATCTTAAATGTACATGAAAAAAGTTCACAGAGGGGTCGCTGAGGCCGAGTCAGGTAATGTGTCGAAATATTTCAAAAGATATTGGGACTCAGGTGGAAAGTAAATACTAAAAGGAAGAGGGTAAAAAAAGATGAAAAGAGCAATGTCGAGCCTGGCTGGTACGGAAAGTTGGAGGTGCATTGTGAAAGGGGTAAGATTTCCCCTCTCTTCGTTTCTTTCCATTTTCTGATCAACGGTACTCTTCCTACTCCAAAATTGCCAGTAATGGAAAATGGAAATTAGGTTTAAAGATTCTATGTGCAGCCTCTTAGAACCACTGGATGATACACGAACAACACCTCCCCTCTTCCCTCTCCCTTCACTTTCATTTATAACCAGAAAGGTTGTTTATACAAGAGACAACAAGAAATAATCCAGCCACAACCATTAACCCACACTAACACTGTAAAATACATTAAATGGTCCGAACACGTTGCCGTCAACTCCAGTAACGTCGCCATCGCTTCAGTGTCTCTTCTTCTCTTTGCTAGTGTCTGTTTCTTTCTGCCCGTTTCTGTTTCCACAGACTGTCAAACTGACCCAGATGAACGCACAGAATGGCCCAGACACCAGCAAAAAGAAGAGGAAACAGGTATCGTGAAGATAACATTACTCAAATCTGAAGCAGACTCGAGTGTGGAAACAGACACGTGAAGAACGGAGCAGATTGAACAGAGAAGAAGCCGCACATGAGAGCCTCAAAACAGCAGGACAGACTCTCAAACTACACTGAAATGAAATGAGTGCACATAAATTAGTAAAACAACAGAAATGAAACACGCTAAACTCTTTGGGTTTCTAAGGCATTCTCAAAAATACTGGTAAAAAAACACTTCGGAGCATTTAAAAGACAAGGTTGAAACAATAATTTCAATCACATCAGAAGACAACCAAGTGTAAAATATTCTGCACATCTGTACCAACACCCTTCTGCACAGCACACACTGAGGGAGTGTGAATTCAATCTGCTAAGAATGACATTCATTGACAATATCTCTACATAGCAAGTAGTTGTTTGCTGCTATGTTAATGCCATATTCATGTGCAACATCTTGCGTATTACCCCTCTGAGTGTGTTGGATTTGATTTGTCATACATTTGAACAAACTTCATTTCAGCATTATTCAGTTGCACTTTCGACCTGATCAAACACTCAATTTGCATCTCAGTTCAATTAGTTCCACACTTGCTTCTCGTTTCCTTCTGTCACCCTCCATCTTCACTGCTGCTCCTGCTGCAGTATCCTCTTCACCCTCTTACTTCCGCTGTCCAGTCCTCTACCACTTTCATTCTCAACTGCCTCTTCTCCCATTTTTACTCTACTTCCTCCTACTATGCACCCAGCTATTAGTCCTGTCCTCCCCCTCCACTTAAACCTCATCTCAAACAATCTGGCAGAGTCACAGTACTACTTGTCCTCCTCCTAAAAAACTTCATCCTTGACAACCTGCTGCCAGCACTACCTTCACCTTTTTTTCCATTACCACTCCTCTTCCTCCCCGTTTCTACTCAGCTATCAGTTCTGCACTGTCCTGCCTTTCTCTGTGCTGCCGACATGACCATCACCTCTTCTCAGCCAGTGCTCGCATTCTCAGTGTGGATTTGTCGTTGTTAATTACAATGACAGGAGGAAAGAATTAAGTTCCATTGTGGAGAGAAGGCTATTTGCTGCAAATTGAGAAATGGTACATACATGGGCCTTGGTGTCTTTGAACACATTCTTGCAAAAAAAACAGCAGCTGGTAAAGGTCTCAGAAAATTAGCATACTGAGCAACACTAATGTTCTCTTGGAATTTGCTTTTCCATTTCTGTTTTAATGTTAGTATATACCCTACATAGGCAGTGAGATGTATCTGTGCTATGTTATGGATGGATGTGCTTCTTGCATTTTCTCTCTGTCTTGGTGGGGACATTTTCAGACCAGTGGTGTAAGTTTCAAGAGACATAGTGTTCACAAGAATGAGATGGGCTGAGAGACATCCTGATAACAGAATGCCTCTGGCCACAGCTTATCTAGCCTTCTGTCTCAAAGGCTTGGTCATTACTTTTTCTGAATATATGTGTCAGTAAGTGAGTTTCATTACACATCTAGTGGGTTATGATTCACTAAACTTGTGAATGAAACATCATGCCTGTGGCACTTTCATATCTCTAATCTGAATTGTAATGAGAGTACTTCCACAGTTTGGTATTATTTTCCATTCAAATAGCTTTTTTCAGTTCTATTGATGTCGGCCATTCTTTGCAAAGTGGTTTGTTTGTTAATAAGATGATATTGTTTATTTTATTTTGAAGCCTTTTGTACTATTGTTCTGAAATGCCACACAGTTTATTCTGACAACAAAACATCACTTGCTCTGCACATTTCCTCTGTCCTCTTTTCTTGTGGCTCCCTGCGGTTTGACCCAGTCCTCCATCCCCTCTCCTCTAATCCACTTTTACATTTCATCTTTTCTTGCTCATCTTGTCTTTCCCCCCCAAGTTTCTTTTCTCTCTAATAGCCATCTTGTCTTCCTCTTCCCCTCTGCTATCCATGCTGTCTTCCAGCTTTTCCGTTCCTATAATCCGCTATCTCCCACTCTTCCATCCCTCCTCCTTTCATTGCCATGATAATTAGTTCTCCAGATAAGCTTATTGGCTGTGCGTGACGGCTCTTGTGTTATTTAACACACCATGACAGCGGGTGTGTGAGTGTGTATGTGCAGGCCTCTTTTTGTATGCGTGTGGGGTCTTTTCACAATGTGTGTGAATGTACAGTTATATTGCATGGGTGATCTCTGGGCTCATCGGCATGTGAAAGCGAGCTCGTCTCTGGAGGACCGGAGGGGGTTCTGGAGATAACATATCCTGGCTTGACGCTCTCAGATCGAGGGAGGTGGGGGGGAGAGTAGCAGTGGGTGTTGTAATGACTGGAACGATGCCGTGAAAGAGCTCCATTTGTGGACTTTTCCAACTGCTGAGTCTCCATGTCTGTCCTCTCAGACCCCACTCAGAGCCACGTGTCCCTGGGCTGCAGTGAAGCCCATCCCGTCCAGGCATGAGGCAGCAGATAAAAGTAGCTCAGCCCACCAGTGTTGTTGCGTGGTGCCTTCTTTCTTTGAGTTGACTCATCCATGACATTCACTCCAGCATCAGCCTCTCCTGCTTGCCAACTTGGGCACAATGCAGGCAGGAATGAGCTCGTCTGTGTCTGTGTGTGTGAAGTGCGCATTCAGTACAATCTGCTTGTGCTTTCTGAGGACATATTGACTGTGTGCAAAGTGGGTAGGTGTTTTTTGTCAACTGGGAATTTCAGATTTTGCTTTTTTTTTTTACTTTATATTCAATTTTCACTATTGTACTGAAGACACTTTTATTTCTTTCTATTGTTTTCTCCATGACATAAAAAGAACATTCCCTTCTGCTTTATTAGTCCACATTGTTGCAAAAGAAACCTGGATGCTTCTTCATAGAACTTCATGCTCCTTCAAGTAAACAACACTAGAATGTGGATTTAATGTCTATAACTCCACCCATTGTTTTTATTGACAGTGTTGGATTGGACTTGATAATGTTTACTTCAAACATTACACATATTTAAACTTGGTTTTGGTAAATTTGTAATCTTATTGTACCCCTGGAAAGCACCTTGGGTCAACCTCCAATGTTTCAAAAGAGCTGTACTCATAGCAGTGACTTCACCTGACTTAAAATTTTGAGGATAAACTGTGTGCTTTAAAGAGATTGTTTGGAAAAATTGCACTGATTTTAACCCACAGTCAAGGACAATCTGCAAGACAACACTGAAAAAAGTCTGGCTATATCTGTCAGTGGCAAGTGCCTTGTTTGACACATTAAATATTTAGTTGCTATAGCACCATGAGTGGCAGCCAGTTGCAGTGGCTCCTTCCTACTTTCTGTGTTTTTAGCTATTTACTTTGTTTTTTCTTCAGTCTTTTTAATATTTTAATTTCACACAGCTGTACCACAATTGTGCGGGAACAGTGAAGATGCAGATGATGTTTTTGTTGGTCTGTTCTTCGCTTTTTTGTGAGTTTTTGGGGTCTGTGTCTGGCGAGCCGTTGAGCCATGGCTCTATTGTTTTTACACTCATGAACAGCTGTTGGTGCTGAGCCAGGCCAAGCCACTGTCATGGGAGAGATTGAACATCCCGTTGAGCTGGAGGAAGAGGGGATGTATGGCAGGAGTGAAGTGTCTGGAGAAGAGGAAACGCCACAAGCTGGCCGTCCATCATCATGGGATACGTGAGGTCTCTCCCTAACAGATGGAAGAGCTAACAGCTGACAGTGCTGATCCGGCTGCAGTGGGAGTATTGGGAGTGCAGCCTCATGTTGTTCACGGAGTCATGGCTGAATGAAATCACTCTGGACTCACTTGTAACTTTGGACGGATTTCACCTGGTCAGAGCGGACTGGAGCTTGAGAGAGAGTGGTAAGAAAAAAGGAGGGGGACTCGCCATGTGTGTGAATGAAAGATGGTGTAATGTTGTGGCACGTTAGCGTTAAAGAGCAGCGCTGCACGAAGGATTCTGAACTGCTGGCAGTTGGTTTGCGGCTGTTTTACCTGCCGAGGGAGTTTTTGCATGTCCTGGCGATTACAGTTTACATCCCCCCCTCGGTGATGCTGCTGCAGCCTGTGAACTCATCCATAGTTCAGTGTCCCAGCTGCAAACATCACACCCTCAGTCTCTGATCAGGAGACTTTAATACATGCATCACTCTCTACCAGTCTCCCCACATTCAGCCAGTATGTGGACTGCCCAACCGGAGACGGTGGGACCTTGGACCTGCTGTATGTGGACACCAGGGATGCATATTACTTAATTATTGTTATTTTCTTGTACTTTCTATATTTTTGGATGCTGCTGTGGCGTGTAAATTTCCCCCAATGGGGGATCAATAAAAAACTATTCTATTCTATTCTATTCTATTCTATTCTATTCTAAAATAGTTTAAGAGTCTCCATTCAGTCTCTTGTTTTGTTCTTAGTTTCTGACACATTCAGAATATTTTTTTACAGACACAAACAAACAATAGCTCTGCCTCCTCCATCAACACAATCCATGCTCCAGTGAAAACCCTGAAGCATTACGTCAGATCAACCCACACATCTACCTGCCTGTGCATTCCCTGAATTGTTCTTCTCATCACAAAGCATACATGTATACACTGTTGTATTCACTCCTCTTAGATCACCTGTTGTGATTCACATAAGACAGGTGTTAGGAAATTGTGTTACATACAAAGCAACACAACACAAATCCTCTGGCTTCTCCCTTAAAAAGACTTTCTGACTTTCTCTTTTGGAAAACGTAAAAACTTTTAATTGCGGTATAACAACAAATTAACTTCTCCTAGACAAACTTTAGAGCAGATTTTAACTATTTTCATTTGTAGCTGACTTTGCTTCTGCAAGGTTGCAACAGTTGTGTTTTGTCTTCCAACAACGCTGATTAAAATTCAGCACTTACAACTTTCACCCTGCACTGTGTGGCTCTTCTGGCTAATGTTGCCCCCTGATTCTCAAGTGCTACAAGAGTTGAACAAGTTTTTCTGATAACAGATCAGCTAAGAAAATACATTCTTAAAAGTTGTAAACTGTCTTCAGGGCAGAGCGGCAGTACTAAACACTTATAGACAGTTTGAACCAAAAAGAACGCTGACGACGTAGCAAGTGTAGTTTTGTGTGTGTTTGTGTACCTGCGGTGGAGTCATTGCCGTTCTTTTCACTGTGGCAGTCCTCTTGTCCATCTGCGTTTTGCTGTGTATGTTGCAGACTCAGTTTATGGCAAACCTCGAATGCCTGGCCGACTGTCCGAACGATGCGCATGGCCTGACTCTGGGTGGGTGAGAAAACAAAGGCAAAGACAGAAATATAGTTGTCATCCTCGGAATACAATCTCTATCACTTTTTAGTTGGTTTAAAACACTCATTGCTGTGCAGTATCTTAGTAGTAGTTAATAAAGAACCAAGGATTGTATTTAATGTGATGTCTTTTTCCTGGGATTGTCTCTTGGTAGTTTGATTTCTGTAGGTGCTGACGTGGTAGCACATTATTTTTTTCTGTGTAATATAACAAAAACAAAAAAATATGTAAGGTAAAACTTATCACTCCCCCATGTGCCAGGAGATTTTTCCAGAAAAGACTGAGTTCCAGATGTACTGAGTTTTTTCCACCTGTGTCAAATACAGACTGGACTCAGATTTGCCCCAGAAATGTGTGCATTTTGGATCAAACAGACGCATTAGGACCAGAAGAACAGTTTGCAGTTCATAGGTCATAGTCATTTCCTAACTCAAAAACAACAACAGAGGATTGTCTGTTTACTGTCCAAACTCTGTGAAATACCACAATGTGTTTCCTATTGTTGACTGGATTTTATTTTTTACCCACAGGGCACTGAGTTGGATGTGTCTGTTTACCTCCTTCTCTCCTCTTTCTGCACAGCTCTGAAAAAGCTGGTCAAGTGAAAACAACTTAGGTGACTTCAGTCTGATATCGGTCCCCTCTTGTCTGGCTTGTCATAGCAAAGACGTAGAGAAGGAGAAAAGATTACATTTTTAAGCACTGATACCTCCAAACACTGCTCATTCTCAGCTGAATGAGCGGAACACAGCACACAGCAGCACTGAGTGTGTCCCTGTGTAATATCAGTGTTACATGTCAAGTGATTCAAAGTTGTGTCACCTTTCAGTCATCACATTACTTTTATGCTAAACAGGAGGGTATTTGCTCTTATGGAAAATTAAAAATGAATAATTTACATGTACTATATTAACAATAGAGGCCTAAGGAAGTCAGTACTGCTCATTACTGACATTTAAATCTGAACACTTAGTATGTCCTCCATTATTTTTGAGGACAGACTCAATCCTTCTCTGTATGGAAAATATCAGAATTGCACAAATATGTGGAGAGTTGTCATTTTCAGAGATTTCTTTTCAGCTCCTCTTTGTTGGAGAAGTTGTGTTGTTGAACCTTTCTCTTTTGAAATACCCCAAAGGTATCCGATTGGATTCAAGTCAGACAACACACTTGACCAGAACTAGTTTTAACTTTTTTTTTTTTGCGTCTTTAGAAACTCTTTGGTGAATTTGGCAGTGTGCTTTGGATGGTTTTAATGTTGAGATATTCCTCTTCTGCCGAGCTTCTACAGACAGAGAGCCACCTTGTCAGGCAGTATTTCAGTATATCCACAAGCATACATGATATCGCCTATAAATACAATCTCCCCAACAACTTTTCCACTCATGCAGCCACATATCATCACACTCCCACCTCCATGCTTCACTGTCAGGACTATGCATTCACTGTGGTAGTCCTGGCACGTTTCATACCAAACATGCTGGATCTCACCTGAGTTGAACAAACTTATCTTGGCCTTATCTAATAAAGAATGTGCTCCCAATATTCATTGGGTTTCTATTCATGTTCTTTAGCAAAGTTCAGTCTCGGAGCTTAGCACCCAAAAGAGCGTGTTTTCTTTTTCATTCATTCAGGCTGATGTTATACAATCTTGTTCTCATGGTCTGAACGATCACAGAAACTCTAATTTCCACTGATAACCCCTGTGCAAAGTCTGAAGCACATATTTTTCACTGCTAGATTGTACAGGTAGTGCTCTGTCTGAGTCATTTTAGGAAGATGGCCACTGTGACTGATTAGTGGCACTATGACTCGTTCTACACCTCCAGATTATGGCTGCAACTGTGTTCTGACTGATTTTGAGATAGTTAATGATCTTTCTGTATTTTTTCCATCTATGTGAAGTCTTACAATCAGCTTGTTCAGCTTGTTCAGCTTGTTTTAATGTGGCGCCACAATGCAGACATGCAGACAGGTACAGCTCATAAGCACAAAACTGAGAACGCTCTGGCATTCAAAGACTTTAAACATGTTCATACAGTTAGGCTGATTGGAAATCACAAGGTACTCGGTTTTTGTTTCTATAATCATCAGTTTTCAAACTTGTATGTCAGTGCTCACAAGTGCATTCACTTTTGTTGTACTGAGCTTCTACTTTAAGGCCTGTATTTTCAATATTTTCTTTACAAAGTACTTGTTTTTGATTGTTTACAAGAGGAAATATTCTTCTTGTCAAGTTAGAAAAAAAAGAAAAGAAAAATTGAAAGATTGTATTTGGTAATTTTGAATAATTTGATATTTAATCAATACTGCACTCACTTCTGCTGTATATTGTAGGTGCACCGTTAATATTCTGCCAAAGGACAAAATCCTTTCTTGTTCTAGTTATTAATTTTGGACCATTTCAAAGTGTTGCCCCACAAAGTGTTAGCAGCGTAGGAGCCTTTTGTGACCTCGGGCTCAGTATTAGATGAGAAAATATGATTCATTAGTTGGCCTAGTTTTGGCAACATCCGAGATACTGAGCTTTGGCCTCAGCCCAGGGACACTTTTGGTTTGGGTCACAGTATCTCCACATGCACCCTCTCTTTCTATGCAGTAGTGAGGTTTGGCTGCAGGCAGTGTTCTTGCAGCGTAATTTATTATTAGTATTTTATTTTTTTAATTAAATCATGCTGCTTCAGCTTCATTTAGTGCTGATGTTGTTTCCATAGTGTTCAGCCAGCAGATGCCACAATCAGCAGAAAAAAATTATAACTGCCAATGTGCCCCACACCCTCTGACCCTTACATAATCAAAAACAGTGACTACCAACAGTGGCTGAGCTGTCTCTCTGGCATGAAACTTTTGCTTTGTTGCGTCACCTCAGTCACCACTCCTACAGTCACTGACTGTCACTAATAAAGTACAGGGTAACAGACTAAAGAATAGACTGACAAAATTGAAGGTAAGAAATAAGGAAAAACACATTGTTAATATAACAACTGCTGTATAACCTCATTTGTAACTTGTATACCTATGGGACTATTGTCTGGACAAAAAGAATTTACACATCTCTGAGGTCATCTTAAGACCTACATATATCTGCTGGAAAACAGTAGTCTGGCAGAGTTCCCATTAATGCAGCTGTTTGGCCTCCATGGGTTATGCTGACTTTGCACTCTGTACCTCCATTGTAGAAAGGTGAAACACAAGAAGTTACAAGGAACAGCTTTTAAATGGTGTTTTGAGCTCACTGCAGCTTTCCAAAAAAGGCCATTTTTACAATATTAATTTTAAACACACATTTTCAGTCTGAACAAAGATAAGTCCAGACATTAGTTACCTGTAACAGACATTATGTTAACTAGGGGTTTCCATCCAAAATACTGATCCTATCACTGACATAATCTTTTGTGTAAGCCAGTTTGTCTACCTGTGTGAGGTTGCTTTCCGTTCAGCATGCCTTCATACCAGCGAGGTAGTAGCAAACCAGATAAAATGGTTTGTGTCTCTAAGTTTCCAGATTGTACAACAAGATACACATCGTGCAGTTTTAATTTATGGTGTGGAGAGAGGGGCTTCAAGCAGTTTTGGTCTTTTCTTGCATTTGATTTTTAGTGATGTGAAGGACCATCTTCAGAGATCCATTAAATATAGTTAAATAGCAGGGATTACTCTCACACACAGACACACAGAGATTTTCTTAGTCTGCAACCTGCAGGCCACCAAATTTGCAAAATGGCTGTTCCAGGTGGCTAATTTCAGTTGTTACATTTAGTGACACTGAAAACAAATGTTTTTGGAAAGGTGCAGAGAGCTCATTCTTATTCTCCCAATAAACGCTGTTCACATGTTGTTTTGTGCGACTCCTTGTTTCTCCAAATCTCTACAAAAGGGGTGTAAAGTGCAAGGTCAGCACGCTTAGAGCCACAATAGCTACATTACTAGGAAGCATCACAAGTTGAAATTAACCAGTGTCTTTCTTTAACAACAATTTAGAACACCAAAGCTGCAATCTGTAACCTCATATTGAAACAGCAGGACTCTTTGTTGTTGGTTTGCAATGACAGCGGCATCAGCCAACCAAGTAAAATGAGTGTAAGTAGCAGAGTACAAAGGAGATCTTATCTTCAAAAATTGAGTCATTCATAGTGTTTCACCATATCCCATTACACAAATAATATAAATTAAAAAGAGAGACACAGATTTACTCAGTTCTGACATCTGTAATCTCTTTGTTCTAATTTTTTTTTTTTTTTGCAACAAGCATTAATATCCTGAAACAGATAAGACAGATTGCTCTCCAGGCATCACGAAAAGATAAGGAAAACTATTGTCACTTAGAGAGAAAAATTGCCTTGGAGCTGACTGCTGTTAAAAGAAGACAGCAAAACAGCCTTCAGAGAAAGAAAAACACAAAGACAAGGCATCAAACTACCAAAGTCAATACGAAAATAGTGTCCAGGGAATTGTCCGTTATGGAGAATAAGTAAAATGTTTTTTGTGGTTTAACCTGCACTGCATTTGTTATATTCTGAGTGGAGTGGATGACTGTGTTCAAAAATGTGAACATACCTTTGTGTATACGCTTACAGGTATCTGATTTTTGTGTCTATCTCTACTCATGTTGCTCTCTTGCTCTCTTTCTCCTCAGATCCACTGTTTAGTTTTTAAATGCTGTGCTCTTCTCATCTTCTCCATCTCATCCTCCATCAATCACTCCCCCATCTCCTCCATCTCTGTGGACCCCATTTCTCTCTTCTTACCCCATGCTTGTGTTCAGAGTGTAGCAAACAATTGTGTTTTTCTTGAAAGGTATTTTCACAGGCAGTCATACATGGAATGAAAGCAGATTCTAGTGTTATTGTTCACAGTGAACATATCAAAGCTCCACTGACGCAAACACCAACTGATTGAATAAAATTCAATCAAACACAATGCTGTACACGTTCAGCCTTTATTTTAGTGCCTTTTTGTGTACCTGACTGTT